ATAATTGTACACATCATATCTTAAATCTAAAACTAAAACAATTATTATAATATATATGCAACCAGCCTTTCATATAAAAACTGGGATATTTTTACCAGAGATTGTTTTCACTAAAGAGTTTGTTGTTGTACTGACATGGTTACAGCTGACAGTAACTATTTACACAATAAAGTGATGGTTATTCACGTTTTCCTCGATTTCAGTATCCAGCAGGACGTCACAATATAAAAATAGGGATATTTTTACTGGAGAACGCGTGCACTTTAACCAGGTAGAGTTCGGGTTTTTTTACATTACAAACAGCAACATATAATGAAGATTTTAACCTAAAAACCCACATAACAAAGCAGGGTATAATTTTAAAATTAAAAGGGACAAGGTGGAGAAAAATGCGCTGTTTGAGTTTATTTACTGACGGTAAACATCAGCTCTTCACTGCAGCTGAGACGTTTAAAGCAGCACAGCACCAACACAACTCTCGTGAAGTTCAGGGTTATTTGACACTTTCCTGCCCGTTCTGTGAGTTTAATAGACAGACAGTTACTTCTTACCTTGTGTTGCAAACTATTTTCAGCTACTCGCTCAGTTTCTTTGCTGGGAGACTTCGCTGCTCCTCCCGCCCTTTCGGTGAAATGCTACGGCTGGAACAGTTGACTTCTGGGAAATGCAGTTCTTTTGACTTGTGTTAAAGTCAGAGTCAGAGTTTCTTTGTCATTCGCACCTCATGTGCTACATGTGGTGGAGCGAAATTATGTACACAGGGTCCCAGTTACATCCAAAAATAAAATGTATGAGAAAAACCGTAATAAGATCTGATATGAACTAAGAAAAACATCAACTAAAAATACACTAAGCACTCATAACATAAAAACATTACGTCGAACATCAGCACAAACATGAACATGAGTCTGTGTGAGCAGATGAGCACGCATGAACACATCATCATTGAAACAGATCAGCAGCAACATGATGTGATTTTTCCACAGTGATTGTTTTGGTTAAAGATTAAAAAAAAGTGAAGGCTTACTGAAAGAAAACTACAAAATAGCTGCGCCCATGTTTTTTTTGTTTATTTCATTTTCATTTTTGGTTATTGGTCGGATCCCGCTCCTGTCTGCTCCCATTAGCTTTCAGTCCGGTCACGTCCCGGTCACATGAGTTATAATGAGGTTGACTCTGGTCCCGCCTGAATCCGTCCGGAATCACGTGACCCGCGGTACTCCTGAAAAAATGTCATCCTCTAACACAGACAGAGAGCAAAAAAGCAGGAGGAGAACAGGGAGAAGGAAGAAACATGTGCGCCTCATTACAGGGCCAGTGAGGGGAAAAAAACTGGAACTGGAACACGCTGCCATATACGCCGATCCAGAGCATCTCAAACATGCTCAATGGTTGACATGTCCGGCGCGTATGCTGGCCATTCAAGAACTGGGATGTTTTCATCTTCCAGGAATTGTGTACGGATCCTTGCAATATGGGTCTATGCATGATCATGCTGAAACATGAGGTGTTGGTCATGGATGAATGGCACAACAATGGGCCTCAGGATCTTGTCACGGTATCTCTGTGCATTCAAAATGCCATCAATAAAATTTTCCAAGAATTTACCAAAAATAAAATAAAATACATCAGTGTTTGTTGTGCATAACATACGCCTGCCCATACCATGACCCCATTGCTACCATGGGCCACGCGATTCACAGCGTTGACTTCAGCAAACCTCTCACCCACAAGATGCCGTACTATCTGCCTTCTGTCCTGTACAGTGTAAACTGGGATTCATCTATTAAGAGGACACCTCTCCAAAGTGCCATACACCATTGAATGTGAGCATTTGCCCACTCAAGTTGGTTATGACAACAAACTACAGTCAGGTGGAGACCCCCATGGGGATGACGATAATGCAGATGAGCTTCTTTAAGATGGTTTCTGACAGTTTGTGCAGAAATTCTTTGGCTCTACAAACTGATTGTTGCAGCAGCTGACCACATGGCTGGTCTCAAACGATCTTGGAGGTGAAGATCCTGGATGTGGAGGTCCTGGGTTGGTGTGGTTACACCCTGTCTGCGGTTGTGAGGCCGGTTGGCTGTACCGACAAATTCTCTGAAACGCCTTTGGAGACGGCTTATGGTAGAAAAATGAACGTTCAATTGATGAGCAACAGCTTTGATGGACATTCCTGCTGTCAGCATGTCAAATGCATGCTCCCTCAAAACTTGCAACATCTGTGGCATTGTGCTGAGTGATAAAACTGCACATTATAGAGTGGTCTTTTGTTGTGGTCAGCCTAAGGCACACCTGTGCATTAATCAATATGTCATCAGCATCTTGAAATGCCACACCTGTGAGGTGGATGGATTATCTTGGCAAAGAAGTGCTCACTAACAAAGATTTACACAAATTTGTGTTACGTTTATATTTTTGTTCAGTGTATTAATGTTTTGCCCTTGCTGCAGGTATTTTTGGAGCTCGGTAATGAGCGGGTGAACAGTTTCTGGGCAGCTAATGTCCCTCCAAGTGAAGCTTTAACGCCCTCAAGCAGTAGCGAGGACAGACGGCGCTTCATCACCAACAAATATCGCCAGGGCAAATACAGGAAGTACCATCCTTTGTATGGTAACCAGAGTGAGCTCAACAACGTGAGTTCATTTCCCCAACTGAATTATTTGCTTCTATGTTTTGGCTCTCATGTTTTATGATTCATCTGCTTCATCTGCTTTTTGCAAAGTTATTATGTAGGAATATGTTTAAAAGTAAATTCAGTTTAATGCATTTTTACTAAAAACTGAAAAATTTAAGTCCAATTCACTCTAAAGTATTGATATAATAGTCATGTATTACTGAATTTCCTTTTTCATACAATTTCTAAAAAAAAACAAAAACAAAAAAAAAAACAGCTGGGCATTATTCTGTAGTAAAAGACAATTTTCTTCCCATCTGGAGGTTTTCTCAATTTAAAATAAGTCTGGGTAGGGTCTTACATTATTTTTTTTACCTTGTCCTGGATAAATTGCTTTAAATTGATTTATTTGCTTCCTGCTTTACTTCGTATTGCAATATAGCA